ATGCGCTACACGACCTTGCTGTTGTGGAGCAGCCCCTGGGTGAGCGTCATCTCGATGAGCTGTGCGCTGGGCGTCATCCTGTACAGTGGGAGGACATGCGCCATCAGCGGTGCCACCCTCCTCACGTGATACCCCCCGATGATGCCAGCCCCGCGGAGGTCGTGGGTCTTCAGGAATGCAATGGCCTCGAGGAGGTCACACATCCTCTTCTTCTCCTTGATGGGTGGCCCCCACGACCATGATGGTAGTACCTCTTCGACCAGGGGCCCAGAGAAGACCGGCAAGGGAGTGGCAGGGTCATTCTTCAGGTAGAACCAATGTGAGTGTCACCCCTTGTTGGATCTAGAGACCTGGCAGGGCATGTATTCGGCCGTCCACTACCCCCCGAAGGTGGATGCCCACATCCCATCGGCACCGGGGTCTCCGGCCTCTCTCTTCTTCTTGATCAAGGAGATGGAGAAGAAATATCCCCATAGCTCAAAGTGGGCCTTGATCCCTGTGTACCGCACATCGCGATGAAGGCCGTGATCTCACTGGATCCTGCTAGGTTCAAGTGCTACTGACTCGATCGATAGTGGTGCAGCAGACCCGAAAAAAACGGGTGGGGAGGAACCGAGAGTCCACGCTCGTGGAAGGGCATGAAGGAGATGACGTAGCCGTCCAAGCGCCGCGCGCATCCTCACGGCTGGGCACAAGCCATTCCGCCACATCGGTCCTCCCGTGAAGAAGACGACGCTTGACGAGGCCCTCCATGCACGCATGGGTAACATCGGAGCGGTACCATGAATCCATGGAGGATGGAGGCGGCTGTGGAGAAGCAAAGGCGGTGGCGGAGAAGCGGAAGCTACAAATCTAGTGCTCCGGCGGTGGATTAGCAAGCACGGCAGATCCGAACAGCGGCGGCGGAGAAATGGAGAAGGTAAGGCTATGATTTTGGTGTGCAGAAATGTGAAGGGAGAGGCCGCTATTTATAGGATGGAGCAGGGCAAGAAGGCGAACCATCCGCCTAGGTTCATGCGCCCGCTACGCCGCGTCATGTCACCTCCCTCCGAAGATCGTGAGCACACTATCTCTGGCCATGCCCTTGAAGGACACGCCGAATGACGGTTTTCTCGGTCGATGGGCCAAGAACCGTCGTAGGTAAGGAGGGATACAGAGCTGTAAACGCTCCTACGACCCATTTAGGACCAGGAGTTCGAAGGCTGGCCCACCGACGTGTTCACAGCCGCTCTGGGGCACCCTTAGAGCGAGGGGTGGAAAGGGATGGGCCCACTAGCGGCCAGTACCCGGGCGCATGAGTGCCGCGGGCATCCTAGTCCACGTTCGAGTCTTGGTCGGTTCTCAGTCCATGGTTTTTCCTCGAAGAAAGGCAACGAGCCCTTGGGACCGGCCGAACGGACCCAAGAACTATATGGATTGGCCGCCAAGAGTCTGGAGTCGGTCACCAGCTGACCAATGTCGGACCCCTGTGAACGGGAAGCCGGGGCCCCACTCAGACTAGCCCATTAACAGCTCACCGAGCACCATATTTCGTCCATCGAGGAAAAACGTGGCATGGCTCAGCCCCTCCGTTTTATCGAAAAAATGCTTGAGGGATGACGATCATAAAGACGAGCCGACCCTCAACCGGACCCCTTCTACGAGCGGGGGCTCGAGGGAAGTTAGACTCGCAAGGAGACAGAACGTGCCATCGCAGTACGATGGCGGACCGATTGGATCCTAGGGGACCGGAATCAAGGAAAATCTTTCCGACCTCCCGAATCCTACGGTTACATACCCCAAAAAGACCGATCGTGACAAAAGGGAATCGCCGTCCTACCAGGACACGCCGCGGGCTACAAAAAGAAAGCCAAGGCCTTCAGAGTCCTCCCGTCCAGAAAAGCCTCCAAAGGAGTATTCTACTCCTCCGCAAGCTAGGGGGCTACTGTCGAGTATCAATATTAGCGATTCCCAAAGCAAGAAAGTTAGCGCCCACGCTGACTTCCCCGGATGGCTCGAGACGTATTAAAAGGTCTCGCCCGACCCCAAGGCCACGGGCTCCGTCTCGTCCGACCTCGAGGCCACGGACTTCGTCTCGCCCGACCCTAAGGACGCGGGTTCCGTCTCGCCCAAAGGCCACGGGCTCCGCCTCGCCTCGACCTCGAGGCCATGGGCTCCGCCTTGTCCGACCTCGAGGCCGTGGGCTCCATCTCACCCGACCCTTGGGTGTGGGCTCTGCTTGCCTCGACCCTCGGGACGTGGTTTCCGCCTCACTCAAGGTCGCGGGCTCCATCTCGCCTGACCTCGAGGACGCTGGTTCTGCCTCATCCGACAGGACCCATACCGCCGCCAACCACTCCAGATCTAAGCGTATGAGCTCAGGTCAAAACTCAAGGCCAGAAAGAGGTGGCATGCCTCGATGTAACCCATGACCATGATGGGCCATACCTTGGGATTCACATCAAGAACAAAGGTGTCATGCGTGTTTCACCCACCCACTCCGCTTGGATATAGCTGCTTCCCTAATGTTGATACTGTGAGCAGGTTGAACAAGATCCAGCGCCACTATACCGTGCTGCAAAAGAATTAATCAACATGCAGATGGAGAACGGAGAATTTCCCAAGCAAGTAAATGTTTTCCATAAACCAAAATAGAGTATTCCATGCATATATTAAATATAAATTGAGTGATTTATTCAACCAGTTAGGAGAAATATGGCCATTATGCAATTTCATAGTGAGTAGATATATAGTGAATTAGCGGGACTAAACTACTAAAATGTAAACAAATACTCCTCCATATTTTTGTTGGAAACTGGGATTAATATGTTTATGAAACCTAGTGGCTAACAAAATGGCCATGATATATCTAGTGTCAATATATATGCCTTGGAACTAAGATAGAGAAAATTTGTAAGCATGTTTAATTTGCTCATACTTATGAAGAGAGATGCACAATTAACAAGGAGAAATAATTAAAGAGAGAGAACTTCATTAATTAAGCCACATATCAGCTATATATTTTGAAACAAGATGTCAACGAATATAAGCCTTGCTTTTTGAAATGGAGGGGGTAGTAATAATGTTATTCTACCTGGTTTGGTTTTATAAGCGTTAGCATGCATGTTTGGATGAAATAGTAGAGAACTCCAAGTAGACCAAAATTTGTGGTAGTTCTTTAGTGTAATGTAGGTACAGAGATCAGCAATTAACTGTGCGTGTCATTCGGACTGACATCCACTTCCATCCTGTTCCGTTTTGTTCAGTTCATCTTGTGGTTGCTATCTCTGAACTCTGAAAAATGTTTGAATATGAATTTCGATTTCAGGAAATTGTTGGCAACTTCAACTCCTCACTTTTCTTTAACTACCCCAACTACCGGAACTTATTTCCCATCTGGGCTCTAGGAGAGTTTCGCCGCCGACTTCTTGCAAAAAAGGGTTAAGGTGGTATCTTAGGCCATTTCTATGAATTGTATTTGGGATACAAGTATCCATACATATTATATTGTATTGTATAATTTATGAACCAAGCCCGTGGTGATGGGAATGTAACACAAAAGAAAATTTGTATTTACTAAAGTATATATTAATCTTTGTAAGATTATCACAAATTAGTTGATAATCATCAGTCATCTGGTTCTTCAAATTCAACAACAATAATGCAAAATGTTCTTAAGCCAAATCTCTTGTGAATCTGTCACAACTATATCTGAAAAATAAAATCAGATTCTCCCCTGCACAGAGAATAATAAAACAATGAAAACATAGATTTAGAGCATATCTAGGAGTTTGCTAAACCCATTCTCAAGCTCGGTTTTTGCCATGCAAGGGAATAAACACTTTCCAACAACTGCATATACGAATCGCAAAAAAAAAAATGCATATACCTACTCCTAGTTCTTACACGCTATGGAAAATTAATTGAGCACTGCGCACACATGAATGTGGATATAGAGGACTCCCGATGGGTCTTATGATGGTTTTCTTCTCTTCCACAATTTTTTCTCATAGTTTTCTTGGTTGTCTTCCTCTTTTGTACTATAGCCCGTATCCCTATAGCTGGTGTCTGCCTTGCTATAGCAGCCACACCTAGCCGACAATAGTCGCGCCTAACCTAGCTAGAACTAGCCCAGACCTGGCCGACTATGGCTAGCTAGCAACACTTGTGGCGGGCTAGCTGAGGTTGGCTACACCTTCCTAGGCGGGGCCTCCCGCCAGTTACTCTCGTTGTCAACGGGCATATTGCTTCTCACTAAAAGAATAACGTCTTACATCGTACGGCACTGTTCGCTTGACTTATAATCCGTACTTCTCAGCTTGTTCTTTTTAGATGGAACAGCGTTTTTCTCTCACAACAAATCAGCCAGAACAATGTTTCGGCTTATTTTTTCAACGAAGCGAACGGAACCATAAGAAAATGTAAGCATCCATCAAAGTAAACGAACTGTGTTTCACAAGTCTTAGAAAGGTTATTTGAAGCACCAAAATCAGCAGCCTTCCAAAGGGAAGGCTTCGTTAACGAGCTGTTGTGTTGTGTCAGTACATAACCTGACAGGCAAAGTTAGTTCAACTTGTTAGCTCAAACCCGCGTGCAATCATCGAAACTTCCATGGTATGCTTGGCGACAGCTCAGCATGTATAAATACCATATATCAATCAATGAAAGCAATGTAGTTCAATCATTTCTTTCTCTCTGATTACATACTCTCAAACACATCTAAAACAAAATCCACACTACTCCCTATTATTTAAACCTATTTATACTATAAAGCCTGGAGTAATATGCGCAGCATATATAATCATGAACAGTAATGGAAGAAATGCAACATATAGGATGACACAAATAGCAGCTACTGGATTCCAAATGCGGCTGTGAATTAAGCGGTAAACAGAGTACTCCAAAGTCCAAACAGGTGTCCATAGTGAAAGCATTTATCCAGGATGTTTTGTATATCCAGACTTGTGTAAATACTTCACGGCATCCTCAATGAAATAATGGAACCTTTTGTAGAACAAAGCCTAGGTTAGATCATCTTCATCATCATCCTTTTTCTTCAACTCGTTCTTTGCCTTTAGAAGGAGAGTTGTTTTCCAAGGATCCTGAAACAAAAACACACAAGACACCTCGTGTAAAGGGGAACTAACCTACTGTTTATGTTTCTGAAGTTAAGATGCAATACTTCATCTCAGATATACACTACCCTAGACGAGGCATCTCCCAAATAAAGAAGGAAAAACACAGAGAAGTTTCCAATTGATTGTACCAGGCGTGTCATGCTGTCAAACTCCTTTACAGCATCAGTAAACTTGCCAACGTCTCCTTCATCCATAGAGGCTGCAAGGTCCTGCCATGCAAATTTCAGTTCAGCCAAGTCACCCAAGAAAACAAAATGTCTACACTTGTGAGTGAACATCTAGGACTGACAGCCTTTTTTGGGTTTCATTTTAGATAGTTGATGTTCAATAATTGAACTGTGCTATAGTGTTAAAAAAACTGTGAAATTCAAGCTAGCAATGTATAGCTTTTGGAAACTTGTAATGAGGCCAGTTTAGTCCTTTTGGCGATGGATGTTTGTAATCTGTGTTAGGGTATTTCTCGTTGGCCTTCGAGGATTAACTTTATGTTCTTCTCTCTATTACTTCCCTCCATTCCAAATTATAAGACGTTTTGGATTTTCTAGATATATAGCTTTTGTTATGCACTTAGATATACATTATGTCTAGATACATAGTTAAAGCAATGTATCTAGAAAAGCCAAAATGTCTTATAATTTGGAATGGAGGGAGTATAATGCAAGGCAGAGCTCCTGCCATTTTTCTTAAAAAAAAAACTAGAAATGTATAACCAAGGGCTATGCATCAAGATTCAAGAGGAACACAGTGAACAAAAGGAATGCGAGTATTGCATGGTACCGCCAAAAGCTTGTATTCGCGTGTCCCAGAGAAGGTTGGGTCAATGTCCTGCCAAAAGGAGTAACATTGAGAAAGTTGACAATAGCAACCAGCTGACGGTTCAATGGAACAGTTTTCACCTGATAGCGCTCCAATGAATTATTTATAGCAACAGTATCACCTCTACATAGTTGGCAAATTCCTGCATTAAGTAGAATGCCTCTGATACCGTACTTGAGAAGGTTATTGTTTATTGATTTACGAGCAATTTCTTCGAAGAGCTCGGTTGCTTTCTGGTACCTGAACATAATGGCAGTGTGTGTGATAAATTGTGCACGAGGCCGCAGTCATGCAAATTATCTTACAAGCTATAAGAAAGCAAGATAAAATTATCTAACAAGGTAAGAAAGCAAGGTAAAACATCTAACAAGCTAAGAAAGCAAAATAAATCATCAGAACAAGTGAATAAATAGTTCAAAAGAGACAGGTAAGTGATAATCTAACACCTAGACCAAAAAAGTGGTCAGTTCAAGCTGGCTACATTAACCTACCCATTTCAAATCAAATAATATCCCCAGCCGATTTACAGCATACAAATCATTTCAAGAAGGGAAATTAGAAATGGGCCAGCAACTTTATAAGAAAGAACAAAACCAAGTCCAACTCAACTATCCATATAGATGATGTTCAGTCTCATGTTTTGATTTTTTTTTAACGCAAATGGCAGGAGCTCTGCTTCCAATTAAGAAGGAAAGAGTTCTAGGTACAGGCTGGGCAAAGGCCCAAAAGAACTCCGGCCCCAAGCTTGCTCAGAAAGAGGTGGGGTGGGTTTGGGTTGGGAGGCACCATTAATCAAAAACAAAAGTGCCCTTTAGGTAGGATGCAAACGATGTTTAGTATCCAACAGGGAGAAGCAAAACACTAAAAACCAGAAAATAACTATTAATAGAATGCTAACTCTTTGTGAACAGCCTAAAATGCCTCAGTTGATGCCACGGGGTAGCCTTGATGGTATTCCATCATTTGTCGTGATATTGAAGCCATTTTCATTTTTAGTGCAAAATATATTGCATATTCAGTGAAGAGGGAGCAGGGGTCTACAAAGCAGTTCAGTGTTCAAAATTCGCTGTTGGAAACAAATTTTAACTATGCATTTTCTGTTAAATGGCCTTATTTTTCTATAGGAATTGCACCATGTGAGAGTTAGAAGATAGCTGCGAGCACACAGAAGTTCATTATTTCTTTAATGTACAGTAAGATTTAACAAGTTATGAAACCAGAAATCAGAAAGCATGTATTGAGCAAACTTTCATTTTATAATGCCAGTGAAAATTTGCATTTATGTCAGCACCAAATTGTGTTTTATTGGTAATTTTTTAGTCATTCAGAATAAAGCATTGTTGCATAAAGCTAAAGTAAAAGCTTACTTTTCCAGCTGAGCATATATTTCTGCAATTTTCTGTGTCATGCTGTTTGCCTGAGAGGATTGTCCCTCACTATCAAAAAAAGATCAGCAGCTCGATTCAGGTAGACTGCAGCATTCTCTAAATCTTGTTCTTGCTGATAGATTTCACCGATATCCTGAAATGTCCAAATTCAAGGCCATCACTTTGGTGCTTCCAGATAATAATAACATATAATTCTTCTGTTCTTGTGAAAGAACACATAATCCAAGTGTATTGGTCAGTACTTTTTTCAAAAACAGAAGTGATTGGTCAGTAAAATAGATATGTAGATTAATCCTTTATAGTACAAGAACTGGAAAATAAGAAAATAAAATATAGGCATCAATGTGGTCATATAACATTAAATCATCATTAATAATGTATATGACCTTGCTGTATCTTGCAGCCATGTTCAGTCTACCAATTTCCAGGAAAAGATTAACGGCATTGTTAAGTGCTTGTGCAGCATCTGCATGAAACATTATATGTAACAGTTAGTAGAGTAAGTTGTAGCATGAACAGTCATGCCAAGGGAATTAAACTTCATTTTGTCTGGTTGGATTAATGATTTGTTTAGTTGCAGAAAGTACTCGCGATACATAGCCTTAATGTTTCTTTGATTGCATTAAAACAATTATTGTTAAAGGGACATGCCATATTTTGCATGCTAGCTGCTAGATGTCCCAAGGGTAGCCAACTATGGAAAGAGGTAGACATATTTAGCCAGAAGGAACAAATCAAACAGCATAACTTAGACAACTGAATGAGACACTAGCTCCAATAATTGATATTCTAGAAAATATGAAGGATGTATCGAATTGTATGGCTAGCTAGAAAATGTATGAAATGAAGAATAACAACAAAGGCGGATATTCATCATACTCTGGTAAGTGTATATAGAAGTACCTTGTGGTGAGAACTTTTTGTAGCAGTTTGCTGCCTCAACATAAGCAGAAGCAGCCTCGTGCTTGCTATCACCCTATAAAACAAACCTCAGCAGCATAGTCTCATAATTTAATTTCCATGATCACATGAAATGGTATGCAGAAAAAAAAAACAAAAAAGGAATAACCAAACAAACCTGCAAATGACAATCTGCAATCTTTTTGTATACCGCAGCTGCTCTGCTCCCTATAGCAAATAGTTACAATGATTAACAAGGATAAGAAGTTTTTCTTTTCCTTAAATGCAAAGGAGTAGTTGATAAATTCCAGTATGACAAGATAAATCTGCAATTTCAGATTCTCACTCATGGATAGCAAATGGATTCGAGAGGACAACAGGGCACAGTAGCTACTGAACATGCATATCAGCAGTTCAGGATCCCTAATGGATAAGTCGGATGTGAAACCAATACAGTAGGATATGGGACACAATTCAATATTGAAAGAGACAAATTATGCGGCCTATAAAAAAAACGGATCTGAGAATCGTAACTTCGCAATTTTTGCATTTCAGACCATGGAACAGATGAAACTGCACATGGATGGTAGTATCAGGGAGCTCAATATTAAGATCGGCCTAATGGCATCGATAAATTTCGTCGAAATCACGAGTATCATGTAACCTCTCCCCCAATCAAAATCACTTATATATATGAAACAATAAACCTAGATATCAGAAATCGCATTTCCGTACGTATCACCGCGATACCCAGCGAAACGACATCATCAGACACCTACATACGATCGATCGCGCATTGATGTCTCAACACCAGCACACGGATGCGAAATTGCCAAACGATGCAAAAAAGGGAACAGGGGGCTCACAGTTCTTCGCGAGTTTGAAGAAGTTGCCGGCCCTGTCGAGGAGGTCGGCGGCTTCCTCGTACTTGTTGCCGAAGAGGCCCCATCCGGAGAGCTTCTGATCGGCCTTCTTCTCGAAATCGTCCCCGCGACCCTCGTGGTCGCCCATTCCTCTCTCTCTCTCTCTCCGGCTGCTGCCGTACCAGGACGCGGTTGCGCGCGTTGCTACCGATGGGTGGCGGTGGACGGTGGACGGTGGACGGTGGTGCGGTGCCGTGCGGAGTGCGAACTGCTGCGACAGGGTACCTGGCGCCTTCTCGTTGGGTTGCGGCCTGCGGGGAAGTGGGGACGGGCCAGGTGAGATATGTTCCACCAGGCCCATAGGTGAATAGTCCAATAACTTTTTTTTATCTCTTTCCCTATTTTTCAGCAGTACTTTTCAGCAAACAAACAGTTTTTTTTTCTGACAACAAATCCAAAATAAACAAGGTCATTGGATATTCTATACTTTTATAAAGCAAAACCCCACTAACCAATTTATCTCATTCCACGGTTCTTCACATCATCGTTCACTCCTGCCCTAAGCATCCACCTCCATCAGTGGACAACAGTTTCCAGATTAATCTTTGCTATTTTTTCCATCCATTCATTTGTGCAGTTATATAGGTTACTGAGTGGATAGCAGTTTCCAGACTAATTATGGGGCACTTACTGACGCCTATCAGCCTCTTCCTCTTCCAAGATCTCTTCACTTCCCCTTCTACCATTATTCATACTTCTCTTATTACGTTGCCTATCTTCTATTTAGAGGGCTCATCATCCTTTGTTCTCACGGCCACGCTACCCTCTAGGTGGATTGAAGATTGATGATTTCGTACAGAACTACAGAAGGTAGCTCCTCTTCTAAATCTACTATGCTATTCATGAAGAATTATGGCCCTGATCGTATTTTTCTCAGATTTGAGTGGAGTTCGTAGCTGGCCTTTAATTTGTGTGGATTGGCTATTGCTTCCTTGCAAGTTTATTGCGGCATGGCAGCGGCGTGACGTCGTGCTGGCGGCCGCAGCCCGCAGCACCTTGCCCTGCAGCCCAGGTGAACCTGACCAGGCGCGCAGGATGCCCAGGAGCTGCTGGCATTGACCCAGCGCCGCATGCGAGCCACCGGTGAACCGCGCCCTCGCATGTGCGCCCTCTGCTCCCCGGCTTTGCCTTGGAAACCCCTTCTGCTCTTGCTGTGTGTGTTCCCTTGGGCGTATTGCATCTGACAATTAGTGACAATTCCTCCTTTTTATCTCATCTACAATATGTTAAATAAAACTTTTGATATCTTATATTAGTCATTTTTGTATATTTCTCTGTGATGGCATAGCCCTGGTAAAGATCAATCATGTCAGGAAGCTGATTTCACATTTCCTAGAAGGCTACAAGTATACGCTGAATTCGACAAAACCCATATGTCGATGCATATGTTGGCTTCTAGCCGTTCCCGATGATATATGGCTATGTTGACTTTGCTGAAAAGTCATGGCTAAAAATATTGTTCGCTAATTTGTTGTGAGAGAAAAACAATATTCGTTCGTTGAAACAGTACGACTCATAAAACAAACACAGAACTACTCGTCTTTAGGCATCTCCAAATATGGCTTACAATTAATTCAATTAACCATTCAAAGGAACAGAGACTACATAGGCTGATATTTTGGGCATTATCGTGCAACTATGTAGTATTCTATACTTAAAATGATTTGAAGCAACATATAGCACATCTGCCGGTCCTAATCTAAATAAATTCGTTCTCTATGGAATCAAAATTCTACTGGATACCCGTGGTAACGCGCAGGGAATCCTTCTAGTTATAAAATAAAAGTGAATTCTTCCAACTGCCTTTTTTTACTCTCACAATACACTGACATCACACATATCTCGTCCGAGATCTGGATTCACAAATAGAGTTCAATTTTAAGATGTATTAGAACATATGACACGATTATTAAATAAATTTCAGGAGCCACAAATCATCTAAATATTCGCATAAAATAAGTTGCATATTCTATTATAATACACAGACATGTTCCAATCCAAACAGGCAAAAAAAATAGAGGAGAACAGTCCAAACAGGCAAAGAGGCCATCGTCACACGAGTGTTTATCAAATTAATAACATAATCCCTTCCCTTCGGGACAAAATTTTTTATATCTCTAAATAGCTATACTATTTTACGAATAATCTAATATATTTATTTGATATAGTGAAAGTTAGTATTTTTTACAAATTTAGTTGAATTTAAAATTATTTGCATTTTTTAATGGAGAGAAAATTTTATTATAGAAGTGCCCATTGATAAGGGACCGGCGAAATGGCTTCTGGAAGAGAAGTCGTTGCCGAAAAAGCGCGCACGGCGCACCGAAAGTGCGGCCTGACAACTGACGAGACGAGACTTGATTGAAGACTAGGCACAGCAAAGAGGACGGCCTTTGCTTCCGACCGAAGTCTCCTCGCTCCTCGGTCAAAAGTCTCGGTGTGCGCGGGTCGGCGACTGGGCGGGTGTCAAGTCAAGGGACAGCAACAGGGCGGCCCCAGCCCAAGCGCCGCCCCTCCATCGTTTCCTCTTCCTCCCTCCCAATCGCTCGCCGAAACCTCACCAGTGACCAGTCACCACCACCATGGATGGTTCCGCCTCCCCCTCCGCCGCCGCCGAGACTGATACGCGGGGAGGAGAAGCTCCGTCCAAAGCCAAGCGAGGCAACGGTACGATCAACGGAAACTGATGCCACCTCACTCTGCTTCGGTTTGTATTAGTAGTACCTTAGTTCGCTAGCGTTTACTCTTCCCTAGACGAAAACGATGTCCTTAGTCCTTACTGAGATCTATAGTTACTGTACTTTTCTTATATAAGGATATTTGTAGTTCCTTTTTGAAAAACCCTGTTGTGATTATTACTGATTACCACTGCTGTTGTATTCTAGTGTGATAACAATTTCATGACGACTTCGGTTTCACCATAAGTTACTTATAACTTGTGGTGATCTGTTGTAGGAATTGTCATTATAAACTAGTTCGTGTAAGGACTGCTGTTGCAGTTCAAGCTTTCAACTAAATGGAACCTCACCCGTTCGAAACTGATGTCATTATTTTGCTTAGTGTCAAGCACCTGCTTAATGTTAGATTTGTGATAACGATGCTTGTCATTCCTTATTCAGCTGAGGAGAAATATCAACATGGACAGCCGGTTTATTTTCCAGAGGAGCTAGTGGACAATTGGGTTTCTTTTTCTCGTCGTGGCTTGTATTATTGCTACAACATCTCGTTGCGAGGGTCTTCCAACACAACTGCTGATCCAACCGACATAATTTTAGCTGTCAAATGTGACTTGGGATCTGGCTTCCTTCCGCACTCTTTTAACTTGGGTGGTATTGAAATTACCATTAAGTACCTGCACAAGATCCATCTGAATCAAGAACAGGTAAATATGGAGTGATGTTATCTTTTTTCTTAATCTCAGGTTCCTGCTTTTAGTTTCTTTATCAATATATGTTAGTATTTTAAGTGTGAGAGGTCTTCTGCGTTAATGCTGTGTACAACATTTTTGCTTCTTCAGGTAATTTTTGCTAGAAGATTCCAGACCACGGTTCTTTCTTTGCTCATTAACAGTGACCATTCGGAGGTCAGCGATGCTATAAAATACTTCCATGAACTGCAAGTAGATGTGGGGGTAGTCTATCTACTTCTGCCCACAGTGTATGGCAAAATTGATTGGTGTGGTATCGAGTTCTCAACTTCATCAGTATATGATGATGTGACTGATAAAAATCTGAGACATTGCCATTCTTGTAAAGATGCTGATATACTGCAGACAATGGATGACCCTTGCTGCAGGTGCATACTTCAGAATTCTGTTGTCTATGCCCCTCGTGATGGAAACTTTTATAATATTACAGACCTTGACCTAAATGTAAACCAACCTTTGGATTTGAACAATAGGAGTGCTGTTAGCTGCAAAAGGTATTAAGATTAGATTTATATTTGTCCTTATATTTGTTATGTGCTCCTGTAATTGGTAGAATTTACATCCAAAAGTTGGTATTCTTTTTGTATGCTCTGGATATGGCCCACATTTTACCTCTGAAAGCAAACTACTGTTGGTTGCCAAATGCTACGAAAAAAGGAAAGGTTGTTTTCTGTTAACAGTACCAATGTTTTTGCCTCTTGGTATCTTGTTCTAACAGCATATATAAATTCGTTATTACACACGATATTTTTGCCTCTTGATAGTGCAAAACTTCCTCTACAAATGATATCATGTTAGCATATATCTTGTTCTGAAGGGCAGGCCCGGTGCAGTGGTGAGAGCTGTCTCACTGAGTCACCAGGTCGTGGGTTCGAAGCAGCCTCTCCGCAGATTTGCGGGGGGAAGGCTTGCCTCGGTTTTTCCCTTCCCCAGACCCCACTCATGTGGGAGCCTCCGGCACTGGGTCTGCCCATATATCTTGTTCTAACAGTATATACAACCAACAATTAGCCTTACAAGAGTGATATCATTGGATTAGTATTTGAAAGCACTATCTTATAAGATAAAATATGGGTCAAAGTATAACTTTGGAGACCACGCCTAGTCAAACCGCACCTTATATTGAAATGGAGGGAGTAATTTAGTAAGTAAATTCGATGCAAAAGAAAAGGTATGCACATGTAACTTTCCACTCTCAGAAGACAGAGAATGAGGTTAGAAGTTAGAGTTGTAACCTGTGACCCTACTGCTGTTAATAGGCTATGTATGATGTTAACTTATCCTTTTCCTTTCTTCAGAACCTGGGAGTGTTAAGTTGCCACCTGGACTCTGCAGAGTAGTCATGGCACCAGTGTCGACAAATACTTTGCTCAGCTTCTCATTTATTCCTTCCATAATGTACCGTATCCAGTGTCTGCTTCTTTCTGCAAAGTTGAAAATCCAGTTGGGCCCAAGAATGCAACAGTTCAACATAACAGCTATGGAGGTTCTCTTTTTCTCAACAGTTATTTACTCCACTAATAGCTGTGGTAGGCAACTAGATACTAAGGTTAACTGGATGAGCTTTTAAGCTACAAAAGAATTTCAGTTGCTCTTATTTTGTCGAGGTGTTGAGAATAAAGAAGGCTTGCCAATTGGCAATGTCAATGCATTACATGCTACTGAACAGCAGTTTTCTTATAAAAAAAAGAACATATGGCTTGCTTGTATTATGCTTAATTTCTAAACTAATAGCAACATTGGTTAATGCTTAACTATTTCGTTTCCTATGAATTTGAATTTAGCAAGCTGTATCATGTGCAGATTCTGGAAGCACTTACAACAAAGGAATGCCAGGAGACTATTTCACTGGAATCATTAGAAACACTTGGGGATTCTTTCATTAAGTATGTTACAGGCCAAAATCTTTTTAGCAAATACAAACATCGAGAGGACAGACTAACCTCTATGAGGGAAGAAAAGGTCACCAACGCAGCTCTATGTCAGCTAGCTTGCAAAAGCGAACTTGTGGTACTGAAGATCTTCTAATCTGCTTTGCATGCCTTTTTTTCAACTTAGTACTGAAGTGTAATAGTTGGTTAAACTTTCTGAATAAAGTAGTTTGTGATTGAAACTCAACACTTATCGTTGCCAAGGAGTCCTGAGCTTGGAACCTGGCTTGTTGCTTTATTTAATCAACAAAAAAGTCCAAATTACTCCCCCCCAAGTTTGGCCTATGTCCAGATAACGTTTTGTTTGATTTACTCCCCCATCTACTTCAGTTGGTCCAGTTTACCCTTAACAAGATCTATCTTTTTTGTGTCTCGATGTGCAAGTTAAGTTTTAATTCAAATTTTGTGAGATAATAGTGAACATCATATTTTATGTTACCAAATATATATGATGAATATTTCATCGTTATGTTTCATACAATTTTATATCTCTAGTGCTAATTTATTACAACCAATCAAATGATGAATTTTTTATGTATTTTTAACATAAATTATTATGTCATCTGTCACCTCACAAAATTTGAAATTAAAACTCAACTTGTACACAGAGAAACCAAAAAAAAATCTTTGTATGGGGTAAATTGGACCAACTGAAATTGTTGGGGGAGTAAATCGAACCAAATGTTTTTAGGTTTATTTGGACATAGGCCAAACTTGAGGGGAGTAATTTGGACCTTTTCCTTTAATTCAAAAAGAAAATAATTTTGTTCACTTAAAGTCATATTACTAGTGATGAATGTTTGCACCGTGGTTCAAATGACCTTGTTTAGAGCAGTCTTTTCATGGAAAAAATGTTGCAAGAACTGTTATGCTTTCTACAAAATTTCTGTGTTGCAAACAGGCATGCCAGCTAAGATCATGTTGCGAGCAATATTTTCGTGGAAGTCCTACTGGAGATGTAGATTTCGTTTTCTGTCCATTACTTTGTTACAAGTTTTAAAGGTGCTTTTTGATAATACTGTTATCCACAATTTTTTTCTTGTTTGGTAGGGATACATTCGAGGTGAATTGTTTAACCCAAAAAAATGGACCATTCCAGGGCTCGGCTATGACACATGTGGTAACAACGAAGTTTTCTTCCGAACAACCAATAATATGTACAGTCTGAAGGAAGTATCCATAAAAAGCAAGAGAATTGCTGATACAGTTGAAGCCTTGACTGGGGCCTACCTCAGTGCTTGTGGTGAACTGGCAGCAGTTCATTTCATCAAATCACTAGGAATGGATGTAGAACTGCATAGTAAAATGCAAGTTGAAAGGATTATTACAACAAAATCTGAAGAATTCATTGACGTGAAAAGCTTGCAGACAATCCTCGGTTATGTGTTCAATGACAGTTCACTGTTAATAGAAGCATTGACACATAGTTCCTACAATATTTCTGGTATTACAGCTTGCAATGAGGTTAATCTCGATGACTTAATGCACTTTGATCTTCAGTAGCAATCGTTTATATTTTTTTTCGTATTTAATTGCAAACAATTCTTTTTCAAAGTTAACAATGTTTTTGCAGTTGAGTAATCTGCAGCATTGAGATGGTAGTTCAGTAGTTTTTCAGATAATCCAAAGGGCGTGAATATGTAACATAAAGACTAACCCAAGCCATGGAATGGAATACTAAATTTTAATACAGTGAAAAATTATTCTCCTGCGTGTTTGAGGGGAAAAATAATGTTTTGCAGTTCTTTGATGCACCCTTGACATGCAAGAACATAGACAAAATTGTCCGTTCAGAATTACTAAAGGTGGCTAAATAATACCAACAGCAACGGAGTCTAAAAATCTACCAATAGGAGAGAATCAGAGAAGTACAAGGAAATGTATGAAATTATAATTTATTAATTGTATTAACCCTTTTATTAACTTCTTTTAACACAAATGACATTTTACCCCAGATGGCTTTTTATGGGTAAACTTAACAAGTCCGTGCCCGTGTGCAGAGGCTTGAATTTCTCGGAGATGCTGTATTGGACTACATCTTAACTGATTACTTTTACAGAGAATGCTACTCCAATTGTACACCAGCACTGTTGACAAATCTACGAAAAGCTTCTGTGAACAACTGTTGCTATGCACATGCAGCTGTTAAAGCAGGGTTACACAAGCATATTCTTCATTCCTCATCAAAACAGATGATTAACGATCTTGAGAATTCAGGACGGTCATTTTCAGGCCCATCGCATGGTTGTGTACCTGGCATTGGTCTACCTGAGGTGTGTCTTTTTGAATGTTCAGTTTTTCTAGGTTTCTTTAAAAACACAGAGCTTATTCAGAACTACTTTTCAGCCATGGAACAGTGTTTTCCTCTCACAACATTTCAGCATAAGCATCAGCATAAGCCAAATTTCAGCATCAGCGAACAGGGTGATGTTTCATGCATTTCTAGGCCCATGAAAACACGTGCCCTTTTTTTGTTTGCGTTGAACATGTAAACTTACCGTATGTTATATGGTTTCTGTTTCATGCTTCTTGGATAAATTAGTTATTAGCTATAGCTGTATGGCTGAAAATGGCTAGCAGTTCTGTTCAGCTTTCATTAGTCTTTATTCTCTCGCACAGTATTATCATGTCTCATGGCAGACAACTGCCACTCTGCCAGTTACGGGGTAGATGGTTCTGTAGGCTTAGGATGAATCTGGTTTAACATTTGAAATGACAACGTGAAATATGGATTAACCATGTGGTTGCACCTGGTTTCCACCTTTGTTTGTTTTTAACTGAAACCTTTGAGATTTCTCGATAGGTGCTATATTCTGTTTACAACTCTTTCGATATTCTTTTCCATTTTCGTGGGTAACATGTGTCTGTTGCTTGTTGGAAAATAAAACGCAGGATCTCGCAGATTTGTTTGAAGCAATAGCTGGTGCAATTTACGTCGACAGCAGGAATGACAAGGAGGTTGTCTGGAGAGCCATGAGACGGCTACTGGAACCTCTTGCCACCCCCAAGACCATGGAGCCTGACCCAGTGTCGGAACTGAAGGAATTATGCGAGCGCAAAAGTTACCCTAAGCCATCGTACTCTCCAACTCGTGACGATGCAGCTGGAGTGACAAGGGTGGTTGCAAAGGTGAAGGCTAAGGGGACAGAGTACTCTGAGACTGGAAAAGGCCGCAACCAGGAGGTGGCGGAAGTTCTCGCTGCCAAGGCTCTGCTCAAGAAACTAAAGGCCGCAGCAAGAGGATGAAGCTTGGACTTGGAGCAGAGGATTTTGTGCACTTGATAGCTGTTTTCGCGGAGGATCAAGTCGGTCGCTTGGTTACCAGCTTGTACGTAAGACTGGTTGAAGGTTTGAGCGCTGCCTCTAGTTTCGCAGTTGTGAGAAACTTATATTGGTGTTGAGTGTTGAGCCAATGTTTCTGCTAGACCATATGTCTCCACCAATTAGATACTCCATGGTCCATGCCATAAGGGCAGTTGAACCATCCCCTTGGTTTCGATAGCTGCCACAAAAACTCTAACCTACGATGCACAGTGTCTTCGTGTGGACCCTAAGTGATGAATTCTACATTGCATAGTGCGTTCATGTGGACCACTCCGCCCATACGTTTCCTCCCCACCCGTCATTTTTCGCATCTTGTTCTCTCTCCTCCGTCCTGGTCTCCTTTCTGCTTCTGGGGCCAACGGCGGGTGAGCACGAGCGGGCCGGTGCACGCGGCTTGTCACATGTGTGCAGTGCGCGCTGCCAGACATGGCGGGCGCGATGCTGGACGGTGTGAGCGTGGCCGAGCACGGCGAGCATAGGCCATGCGAGCGGCGAGCGCGTGCAACTGAAAAGAAGAGTGACGCGCCCTGGACGCCCGAATCTTTTTGGCCATTGGCGACATTCGCATGGCAATTGGCGACGGAAGCTAATCCACTTCTGATATGTATAATCCAATCATTGTGCGACATTCGCTTGAACTATTTTTCAGCCAAGTCAATTTTTTTCAGCTTATTCTCCCTCGCAGAATACTATTGAATTAGCCGAAACCGACCGACTTAACGCCCCGCCGAACAAGCCCCATGGTGTTTGAATCTCCTGAATGTCTGATTTACGTATGTACCCTTGTGCAAAATGTACTACTAGACATCCGAGACTGTTCTGCCCTATCTTTTTTAAGCTCCACTTCCAATTTCGCTAGCTAAACATAGTGATAACTCCACGAACTGCTCTAAAAAAAAGTAACTCCAGGCTTTTTGTGTATAACTTAAAAGGATACTAAAAAAAATTCAGTTTTTTTTGAGCTGCTCGTTGATGGATTAGCGGAGCAGAGCTAGTTTGATAGAGTGCAGCAGGCCAGCAGTCCTAAACAAACCTGTGTATAGGTGAACTTGCACGTGTGTGCTAGAAGGCCGCGTGAGCGCTAGGTTGGACCGGCGAGCGCAGGCGCGAGTAGTCCTATCATCATCGTGGGTCATCCAAAATATTGGAAGAAGCGGTTTCTTGGGGTATTGGACTACGAACTGATTTTGTTTCTCATTTTCTTCTCTCTCTTTACAGCTTGATTGCACCTCAAATTTTTTTCTTATGTGGCAGGTTCATTTAATTTTATGGAAACCACCTCTAGTACTCTGTTGACAGTTGACACTGCCCTAATGCATCTTCATTCACATTAGTAGTCGAAAACATATTTAAACTGGGGTGGAAGCTAAAATGTTGTTCGACTAAAGAAAAATAAGCGGTAATGCTTGTGTCCATGCGTTCGGAGCTCAGCGGACCCATAAGCAAGGCTCTCACAAGCTTGGATGCCTTCGTCCTCAGGCTTACTTTATTATTTGTTTCCTACCTTATCCTCTCATCTTACTTTTCCACCACCGCCCACCGTCGTTGTATAGCGTCGCGGGTGGCCAAGGCATGCACACCGTCGTTCGCCACTGCTGAGCGGTTTCTTGGTTTTCGGCGCGGCGAGTTGTGGCTGCTATCCGCAGCTGGTGTGGTTGAGTGAGCTCCGTTCCACCCCACCCATGGTCGTACGCACCGGAGCTCCACTCGATGCACCTCGACCGAGCTCGTCACCGGCGATGGCTTCCATGCTGGCCGGTTCGGCCACCACACGGTTTGTGCCAAGGCTCGTGGACCTGCGGCCGCGTCGTGCGCGTGTGGCACTCCCGCTCCTGCCACCACCGTCTCCGCTCACCTGGTGCGCTCCCGCTCCTGCCACCGAGTTCTCCATGCCGATGTGGCGTGGTCCATGGCGACTACTCTGGCGCGGCGTTCTCCACCGCACCCAGCTGCCCGCCTGCCACCATCCTCCCTCGTCACTGCACCCAAGCGTCATTTGCTGGCTACCGCAATTCCCCACCGGTTAGGCCGTGGCCACACAACGATGTCGTGTTTTAAGTGTTTTTGACATATGTTTTCAATTGTTTCATCTGGATGTTACATATGTTGCAATGGCTATATCGCATGTTGCAAGCATATGTTACATGTTACAAGCATATGTTTCAGGTGTTTCAAACGTATGTTTCAAGTGTTTCATCTGAATGTTGCAGAAGTAGATCTGGATGTTGTATAACATGCATGTTGCAAGCATATGTTTTCAAGTGTTTCAGGTGTTTCATTCGTATGTTGCAAGTGTTTCGTTTGAATGTTGCATATACTTGCAATGGTTTTTCAAGTGTTTCAGACGTATGTTTTAGGTGTTTTAGCTGTTTCGGATGTATGTTGCAAGTCTGTTTATTTGAATGTTGTAAAAGTAGATCTGGTGATGCACATGTTGCAATGGAACCCACCTACCATTGGGCACTACCGTGTGTCACCATGATGCATCTGTGGCGCCTAAGAGGGAGGGGTGAATTATGCAACTTAAAAATCTACTCTAAACTATGGCCTCTAATTCCACCCTAGCAAAACCTATGCAAGAAAGTAATCTATCTAAATGTGTAACTACGGTTTTGCTAATGTGTTGCTATCTCTACCGCAAAAGAGTCTTGCAACCTAGGTTCCAACCCTATCAACTAGCCTATCAACTAAGCTAGAAAAGTAAAGCACACAACCTAGGTAACAATGTAAATACGAAAGGTAAAGATGAGGTAGAGATGCAAACTCCCGTCGACGACTCTGGTATTTTTACCGAGGTATCGAAAAGCGCCCAAGCTTCCCCCTAGTCCTCGTTGGAGCCCCTCTCAAGGAATCCCTCACAAGGGCCAAGCTCACGGTCGGGTAACTCCGTGGATAGCCCCGGGCCTTCTCCATGCGTAAGTGGGTCTCCGATGTGCCTTCCGACAAGCCTCTCCCAGACCGTTCCCCGCCGTCTTCACTATCAAGCTTCTGGCCGAACTGGCGCGAGCCTTGTTCCCTTCGGTACATGGTGGCGGCCACACCACAAACACGATTGGTGTGATCTCATAAGACTACAAGCCCCTCCAATGTACAACAATGGTGCGCGCAAGCACCAAGTGATAAGAGGTGTGCAAACCTCACTTAACACTAGGCCTAAACCTAGAGCAAGCGTATAAGCTGTGGTCTAATCAACCAAAGCACTTTGCAAAGTACCTACGCTAATCACCTAATGAATCACTAAGCACTATGCAAGTGGAGATCACTAAAAATGGTGTATCAACACCCATGGTATGTTTCCTCTGCTCTCCACCCCTCAAATGGCCGGTTGGGGGTCTATTTATAAGTCCAATGGAGAAAGTATCCATTGGGGATGAAACCCAGCTTTCTGCCATTGACAGGACGTGCAGGTCATCCTAATCGGACGTATCCGGTCGTCCCGACCATTGAAGCCGACCGTTGGCACTCACTATTGATCAGACTCTGGTGAGTCCGGGTGCTTAACATCTGATGCGTCCGGTCGACTTTTCGCCGCTCTAGAACCTCTCTGGACTCGATCGGACGCCACTTCCTGGCGCGTCCAGTCGTCCACAACTACCGCGTCTGGTCCTCACTGAGTTGTTGCCGCGACAATGAACAGTGAAGTCCGTGCGTCCGATCACTGCCTCACTCAGCGTTAGGTCGCTGCTGCTGACGCCTGCTATTGTTGAGCAACTGATCGGAAGCGTCCGGTCCTGATAAGGGCCGCGTCCGGTCACCTCTGCTGAGCTCGTTTCTTCGTGATCTTGCATTCGGCTTGGTTCCTATCTCCGTGCTTGGACTTTGCTTGGTTTCTTGGGTCTTCTATTGTGCTCTAGGGTCTTGCTTGAGGTGTTGATCATCAGATCATTACGTCGCCTTCATCCAAGTCACGTCTTGCACCCTATTGAACTACAAAACAATTACTTGCAAATTTATTAGTCTAATTTGGTTGTGTTGGTCATCAAACACCAAAATCCAAAGTAAATGGGCCTAGGGTCCATTTTCCTTACAATCTCCCCCTTTTTGGTGATTGATGACAACACGACCAAAGCAAGCAAATAATAAATATTTTGGAATTTAAAAACTATCTTGTCGGTGTTTTCGGACCACCGATGAGTAAATTTGTATTTGCGCGTCTGGCTCGGATGGTGTGCTCGGAGGACACAAGGGTTTATACTAGTTCGGACGAACATCCTTATGTCCAGTTTGCCGCTGCTCGTGTTACCGGCACTTGGTTTGCAGTAGGGGTTACAAACAGGCGAGAGAGGGAAAGGATCCCAAGTCTCTGGTGAAAGGAGTGAATGGGTGCTGAGAGCTCGATCACTACTCAGCCGTGTGCTCGTCTCATGCTCTTGTGTTTTTATCTCGTGGTCTGGTCTCGTGCGGATATAGATCCTCCTTTCATAGGGTGCCCTGCTTCCCCCTTTTATAGACGAAGGGAAAGCGCGGGTTACAACAGAGGAAAAGGAGAAGAACGAGAGAGAGAAGAAGGCTTCCAGGATCGCTGGGGCCCTTTTTTCCTTCATGCGGGTCCCACCGATCCTGTAGATATCAACAGTGATGGCTCCACGTCGTGACCCTATTCATCATTGGTGCCATGCGCAGGCATCATCTGCCGGTCATGGTGTTCCATTCCGTCCCAGCGGATGTCGTGGTGAACTGATGCGCCTTTCAGCGTTCATACGAGGGTTAGGTAGAACAGCACTGGCATGCCCGATGCTGTTCTTGATGTGAACCCTCAGGTATGGCCCATCATGGCCACGTGTTACATCGAGGCGTGCCAGTCTCTTCCCTGGTGTCAGAGTTTTGACCCATGCTCTTACGCTTGGACCTAGAGTGGTTGGCGGCGGTATGGGTCCCTGTCGGGCGAGACAGAGCCCGCAGCCTTAGGGTCGGGCGAGACG